TATTGCAACTCAATGCAAAAGAACCTGTATATGATGTATTTATATCAGATATTAAATTCCTTTCATACTGTATTACAACGAAACTTTTATATGATTAATAAAGTATTGCAACTCAATGCAAAAGAACCTGTATATGATGTATTTATATCAGATATTAAATTCCTTTCATACTGTATTACAGCGAAACTATACTTCTAAATTTTCCTTTTCTATATGCAAATATTGTTCATATTTCTTATTAAAATGAGCAATTCTTGTTGAAAATAAAATTTTTCATATTTTGCTTTTTTCAGAACATATGTCTTTCTAACCTCTTACAATTAAAGAAACAGGCACATGTATTGGCTTAAGTCTCATGATTATGAAATGTTTTTGTTCAGAGATATAGGCAAAAATAATTAATGTATTTCAGTTTAATGATGTGTTATCCAGAAGGAATGTAAGAGAAATATGTTTACTAAAATAATGTACAGGTCATTAAAAAGTGTTGGCAATCATGTAGCCAAAAGATGGTATAGACATCCAATAATCACTAGCACAAGGGTTAGCTTTCTACTGTGTTATATATAATATTTCATCATACTTTTTTTTTTTTTTTTCTAAAAATAGTTGAATGTAATGAGACTTACAGGTATAAAGTTTATTATATATAAATTTTTGAACATTAGGTCAGTAATTTCAGGTTTTTCAATTAAAACTGCAATAGTACAAAAGCTACAATTATCATCACATCAGGAAATATAATCTAATATATAATTAATGTAGAAAGCATTGAATTCATTAATTTTATATGCCTTTTTAATATCAAAATAGTATTATTAGTAATATAGTATTAACAAAATATTAAAAATTACTATAATTATAATGTAATTAGTTTTTTAATAATAATTTAGCAACAAAATTAAGACATTTTACATATATAATTTAATGTAGAGAGCATTGATTCTGCTAATTTTATATTGATATTCTATATTAATTCAATAGTAGATTATATTTCCTGATGTACTTATTATATTGATATATATTGAAATATGTTCATATATAAATTTAGAAATGTTTGTCTCATATAATTTACAGTTAAGAGAACCAAAATTAATAGAAATTTGTTTTAGTAGTATATGCTGTTGTTGGATAGTTTTATTTTTAAGTTTTATAATATTTTTCAATTTTCTTTTTTTTTTATAGTAGCAGCATCTTGACACTTACTTAAAAGTAACTCTTATTTAGTATTTGAAGAATGGCTCTTTATCATTGTTTTTTGTGATAGCTTAATTGGTTCAGACAATGGCATATTAACTACTTGATAAAGTTTTGTAATAAACTTAATTTTAAAAATATTATCTGGTAATTGTTGAAAAACTTCTTCTGCCTTAATAAAAGTATCAGAAAACTTAAGATCTGTAATAATAGATATTGAAGAACACAGAGGCTTTATGATGTCAGGTCTCTCAAAAAGTCATCTCTTATTAATAATAGACAAAGAAATTGAACCTTTCATTTGAAATAGATATAAACAAGAAAGTTTATAATTAATCTTGATTAAATATTTACAAATTTCAATATATTTATTTATAATTAGATTTTCTTTCATTTTTTGTAATATTTTTTTAATATTATTAATTATTCAAACTAATATGTTTCCAACAAGTTCACCAAATTTAGGATCATAAAGTGTAAATAGATTAATGACAACTTTATTTGAATCTAAGCATATTGATGCTTTTAGATATTGTAAATATATTATTTGATTAAACTGATAAAAAACACTTTTCAAATTCTTAGCAGTCTTGATTGCTTGCTTAAATGCTTTGTGAGATGATTTAGACCTTCTAGTTGTCAATATTTCTATATAGCAAAACCATTTGATATAAGCAAAAATCTATGTATTCAATTCTTTTATCAATATATTAATATATAATATTACTTTTTCAGAAGTATAAGATTTTTTTGCAGTTTTTTTAATTGTATTTAATAATTGTAGAATTTGCTCTTCATATAATGTAAAGCACAGAGTCTCAACTTCTTTTTTGAATATCTGGTAGTCATCATCTTATTTAAAAAGTTTACAGCAATTAGTCTTCAAATTCTGCTCCAAAATGTGCCAAATGTATAGCATTTTGTTAGATTTAGGAAACATCTTAAATGTAGTATTTTTTAATGTCTAATTCCTATCAGACATAAAAACTTCAGGTAGGCAACTGTAAAAATCATAGATCTTGATTTAAAGTGTTTGCAGAAACCATGTATATGATGCCTTACTCTTATTTTCCATTCAAGTCATTGCAATTTGATATGATGCCAATACTCCTTTTTCATTGCTAATATTGTTAACATCAATAACACTGACAAGAAAATATTTATAAACATTAGTTTTGTATATAGCATCTACAATAAGGATTTCTAGACATCTTGCAACACATTTGGTCACTTTAATATGTAAAAAAAACAGATAAGTTAAGTATTCTTTATTGTTTTTAAAGATACAATAATATAATCATGTTCTTTAAGAAGTTTCAAGAGTTTTTGAGTAGAATTATCATTAGAACTCTCATTCAAAGCAATTCTAATACAAGCATGTTTATTTATAACATTCTTTGAATGAATAATTTCACTATTGTTAATTTTGTTAGCAGCTATTATGATAACTCAAATAGGTACATTGCTGTTATACAATTGTTATATAAGACTTTTTTGAGCTAAATTCATAACATGATATTGAGGAAATGTTGTAATTTTATCAGCTTTAAGCATAGAATGATTATGCTTAAGTGTGACTCTTGTAACAATCCATATTGGTTTATTACTTAAATTTATTATTGAGCAATATTTTGCAATAGCTCTAATATATACAGGACATCTATCATGTTTGGTGGTTTTTTTTATTTTTTTGGTTTCTTTAGTTATATTCCAGTTATTGCACCATTTTCTATCCTTAGTGCATTGCAAGACAACATAAAACAATTTGGTTTTATGCCCAACAAGGTTACTGTCTTTTCTTGAAAAAGCAAATCTATGAGTTTTAGCAGCTGACTTAGCTGCATTTTTAAAGGCTCTAATGTTTCAAATTTCTCATTTAATTTAGGCATGATCAATTCTATAATTGGTACAATAATTCAATCAAGAACATATAAATAAATGACAAACATATTTTAAAAATAAGTAAGTATTTCTTATTAATTAAATTATTAACAATTACAAACTAATTTTTTTTTCTTATATATTATTTTTTAGACATATTTATTACATTATATACATATAAGTTGTATGGATTTTTACTTTTTTTTCTACTTAATGATCAGAGTATTAAAAAATTATATATTATTAATTACTTAGTGAAATCTAATAAGTAAAATAAATTGATAATAAAATCATAATTCTTTATTATAATAATAAAAGCGACAGTATTTTATACTTTCAATATGCATTTTTTGTAAATGCTTTAATCACTTTAAATGATTTAATATATATGTTAGTATGTACATATATACATTCATATAAAATGTTACGTAATCTCATTTTGCTTATATAAAATACCACATGATCTTCAGTACTGAAAAATCATATGATCTGTATATGTTTATAGATTTTTCAGTTGCCTACTCAAGTAACTGCTCATATGAAAAATAAGAAAAATCTTAATTTTCTTATTTTTATTACTTTGGTTACTTCAGATAGATTGATGATATATGGGACATTCAGCTTATAGTAGGAAAAGAGGTTTTAATGATGATATATTTAAATAGATAATATAAAGAAAATTATTATCAAATGTAAATAAAAGTTTTATTGTAAATAAAAGGCTTTTTGCCAAGAAGAAAAGTAATAACAGTACTCTCAAGTAAATACATTTTTGCTTAAATAAACTAAAATATCAAACTTATATTAAAAGTAAACTATAACCCAACCTAAACTAAAAACTATCATTAAAACTCCTTATTATCTATATTATCTGTTCATTTGTATATTACATAAACTGTATTTTGATCATTTAATATAAGTCATATGATCAAGTCATTAATGCAAGAAAAAAATTTAACCTGATTTAATATACTGTAACTTCATATAAGAAAGTAAAAAGAAGACAAGAGAAGGCAAGGATTAATAGAAAAATAGATTAAAAAAATGACTTAAAAGAAAAGAATACTACTTACCTATAGATAAACCACCCAGCCAAATCTAATATGCCTATTTTGACTAAGCCACTATAGGTTACATGAAAATTGAAAAGAATTAGTAACAGACTCACTGATTTATTAAACAACAATATAATTGGTCATGTAAATATAACACAAACAAATTTGCTAATAACTTGAAAATTTAAATTATTCACTTTATTCTGAAATGTTTTAGTTTAATATAAAGTAGTAGATAATATAGTGATGACAAAAAAAATTCATAATCAGATAATTTTTGATTATTTATTTATATATTACATTGATTATTGAATAGTTAAAATCACTTAATCATAAATTTTTTCTGTTATTAGATAATGTTTTTTTTAAACAATGTAATGTTTTTTTGTTTAACATTTAGACATTAGATTATATCTTGTTGGTTTGTTTAGTTCAAAATTAATTTATTACTATTTTAAATAAATTCTACATGATATTTGAAATTCATGTAGCATTAGAATTAGTGAGTCAAAATTATCAAAATACATGTCTTAAATTATGTAATTATAAAATATAAATTAATATTTGCTATTAAAATTATAGAAAACTTTTCTAATTAATATTTTTAAGATAGATTTAAAAAAAAAATTTACAATTAAAAAATAAATTTGAAAAAATATATTTTTTTTAAAAAAATCAGAAATAAACTGTTATTTTATTATAATAGTTAGAGTTATTTGTAATTATAAATAGAACTTAAACCAATTTATATTTGAAAATTTTAAATTAACTTTATCAAAAAATAATTTATATAAACAACTAATTAATAGATATTTTGTAATTAATCAAATTAATATTCACAGTTATATTTTTAATAAAATTTTTGATTTGTAATATATTAAGAGTAAGGTGTATGAAGATTATTTTTCATATAAAATAGATGATAGATCAACTTTATGTAACAAATATAAAAACTGAACATCTGATATTAAATCTAGAATATTTTATGTTCAAATATATTATAATATCGATCAAGTAACAAGTAAAGGTACAACTCGATAGTCTATAGACAACTTTCTTATAACAGAAGGAAACATCAATGTTACATGACTGATCTTTTATGCAATATATAAAAAAATATTTTACAATATATTCTGCTAGTACATAATATGATTATAATTCAACATTATTTTATTATGTACTAGCAGTAATATAAAAGAATTTTTTTATATGTTGCATACTGGGTAAAAGATTAGTCATGTAATATTAATGTTTTCTTATATCAATATCAAGTGGCTTTATGGAAGTTGCTTGTATATATATATTTTTTATTTGAAAGATATAAGTATAACAACTAAAATACAAAATTTTGTTACATTTTTATTCAGTATAACCAAGTTTTTTCTTGTGTGAATAAAACAGCATTTTCTATTACACCTTCTATTACTAAACTGGATATCAAATAGGCCTTGTTTGCTTTTTGTTCAAGAAAAACTGTCTGCTTAACAAAACCATGACCAACTAGATCTGCCAAAGCCAACTCAGCTAATGCCTTTGTATGTAAGATTTTTGGTTTTAGATAATTACTAAGATTTTTTAGTTCTAATTTTTTATCTTGAAGTTGTGCATTTTTTTTATAAGTAAAACCATCTACTACATCTAAAAGTAAGATTGTTTTGTTATTATTTTTACATAAAAGTGTCACTACTTCTAATAATTTAATATTTCTAATTTTACATCTACTTGTTTTGGTTTATCCTTTTCATATTTGAGGCAATTATTACAAGAATTACAAACCAATGAAATTGGATCCATTGGTCATGCATAATATTGTGACACTAATTGAAACCAACATTCATAGGAAATAATACAGTAATATATTACTTGAAATAATTTATATTGTGCTTTGGCTAGATAAAATTCTCTCTGGATAGTTTTCTTATTATTGTTCTTATTACTACAAATTGAATATATTTGAGAATCAATTCAACAAATTTTTTAATATACAAAGATAATACCTTTCCTGATTATCTGATATTATAGAATAATTTGTGCAAATATTCTTCTTAGAATAAAGAATAACATATTTTGAGTCTCATTGATCTTGTTCAGCTCTATCAGCATATTAAATAAAACTAGCTATTTATGGAAATATAGAGTATTATTTTATTTGAAAATTTTTGTATTAGATTGATATATATACTTACCATACTTATTGAAATATTATAAAGTAAAACTAGACAAATTTTAGGCATGTTTATGTCTAAGCCAAATGCTAATGTTGCAATCATCAAATGTTTTTAATCTTTATTTCACTTTATCATTGCATCTTTTTTTTCTTTTTCTGACAATTGCCTATTATATATATTTAATGATATTTTCTCAGTCTTCATATCTAGCATTTCATAGATATCTAAACAATCCTTAACATGTGTACAATAAATTATCATATAATTAGTTTTATCTACATTCTTTATTAAACTTATTATTTGATTTGCTATGGTATTATTTTGATCTTGTACTGAGAAAAGTAACTATTTGCATAGTAAATCAGTGTTTCTCACAATTCTAAACCAATTCTCATCAATATTCAAATTTTTTGAAGGGTCTCTATATCACTTTAGGATAAAGTTGCTATCAAGACCATAATTCAGACATTAGAGAAGTATTGTTTTAACATGCCTAATTTTCTTTACTTCTCTTTAAAAAAAAATTTTTATTAATAACTTATTATTATGTTTTGTATTTGTATCTTTTTTTTTTATTTGAAATAATAAAAATCAAAAATACAATAAGCTTCATCAATTACAAATTGTAGTTTTTTATTATTATGCAAGTGACTGTATAACTTTCTAAGTAATTGATTGAGCAATAATTTTTCTAGAGTGATGTAAAGCAAACGAGTAAACCCAAAGGCTATTTCTTCAAAAAGGATTAATTCATATTCAAGTGTTTTTTAAGACAATATCAGTAGGCAACTATATGAAATCCCAGACTGAACAAAATAGTTCTAAAGGTAAAATCAATTAGACACTTAATTTAATATTTAAATTTTCTACTTAATTGATATACAAACAACTTGATTTTGAATCAATGATTTCAAGAATGAAATAACAACAGTGAGTCCATCAAAAAAAATAGCAAAGGCTGCATAACAAAAAGATTTTCTGCTTCAGTTTTCATAATAACAAGTGTATCCTTTTCTTCTTTCATATAATATCTTATAGCTTCAATTTGTCTTGATCTTAAATCTGTATATTTAAAATTTTCTTTTGTGATTATTTCAATATACTGTTCTAAACTTAGAGGTTGATATACTTCATCTTGAGTTATATTTAGGTTTATAAGTCTTTCATTCTAACTGAATGTTTGGTACATATAACACAATGCACATAGGTCTTTGGAATGCTTTAAAAAACCATACCAGCAAATACATTATACAATTAGACAAAACTCATTATTGCAAAGCTGACTTAGTGCTTTATCCTTATAAGAAACTAATTCCTATATTGTTAGATTATATAATAGTAAGTAACTATTCAAATCTTTATAATTATAATTGTTAAATTATCTTATTAAAGTTAAAACCACCTAACTTTTTATGTTTATTGGCATAATGTTCAGCTCATATTTTATTATATAGCATTATTTTTTGTACATTCTATTGTTGTTTTGTAGAACTCTCATTTTCTATATTACTAATATTTAGCAAATCTTTCATCTCAAATAGTTTCTTACAATAAATTTCTTGAAGCTCAGAAAATAGATAAGTGTACTCTTTATTGTAATGTAACATAGCCATTGTATGACATGCAGAATATAATTGCCAATAATCAATTTTTTTATCTATATATACAAGTTTTACTCTATTAAATGCTTTATTTTAGAATGTCCAATTGAATGTGACAATCTTTTGACCATGAGGTAAATGAAGAATTGTTTCAAGAATTTTTCAAAATTCATTAATTCAACTTTCAGATGAATTACAAAGAGTTGGTTTTTGTAAAAAAATTTCCAGATCATTTTTTGTCTAACATATTTCTAGCCAACAACCTATATAATTATTTTGTAAATGGTTAATAAGGCCCTTTATTTACATCTCTCTCATTTCAGCTTCAGATGATGCATCATGATTTTGGACTGCATTTTAAAAAGCTGATGAATAAATGCATCCTCAAAACCAATGTATTACATAGTTCTCAAATGTGTAAAACTGAACATTTTTTTTATCTAAAAAAGCATTAAATGATTAATTAATTGATAATATAATTCATTTTTGCAAGAAAAAAAATAATATTTACTATGTAAAGAGTTTCTAATATTTTATGTTAAATGTTTTAGATCTGTATAAATCTTAGTCATAATGGATATATTTGCAAGGGTCTTATTTGAATCTAAGTCACTATTGACATATATTTTCAGATGTAATTCAGTTTCTTCTAAGAGCAAAATAATTTTGTTCAATACCTTTATCAATATAGCATGCTTCATTTGTCTTAAAGATTTGTCAAAATTGCTTTAATAGATTATTTTAATAAGTTCTGACTTTTTTTTTTTAAATCTAGTTTTTTTAATCATATGAAATGCAATAATTGGCTTGTAGAAATAATCTATAATATATAAAAATAAACGAAATTAATTGCAAATTAAATTAACATTTAGATGCAAACTATATACATACCAGATGATATGTCTTGACATATTAGCTCTCTACTAGCTTGATTCATATTTCATATATAAGATCATAAACAGTTGAAACCTACAGATAGTGCTTTTTTATACTGTAATAAGATATAATTTATACATCTTTTTAATGCTTTTTCTGTACTGGATTTTGCACAGGCTATAAGAGAATCAAAATATGTTTTTTTGATAACTATAATATGTTTTATTGCCTATTTGGTTTATAATTATCATTATAGCTAAAGAACTTTGCAATTCATTATAAGATATTTTACTTGCAAGTTCTAAAGCTGCTATAGCTTTTGCAAATCAGATCTTCTGTTTTTCATTTGTGTGTTCAAAGATGATATTATATTTTGTGCATTCTACTATGCTTTTAACATAAAATTTACTTGATGTTATATTAAAAATTTTAGTTGTAAGACTATTGTTATTGCAGTTATGACAGGGTTGTGTAAATACTAATATAAGGTATTTTTTTGTAAAAATTAGCATTGAAGAGCCAAGTTGGACAGATTCCATAGAATTTTTAATACTTGTTTTCAATAATTCTGTCTTATTAAGACTAGCAGTCATTTTTTTTAATTCACTTCCTAATTGTACTATACAATTTTGGAGTCTGGTAATTTGTTAACAAAGATTGTAGATTTTTGCTTAACTTTCTTTATAACTAACTATTAATGCCTATGCACTTTTTGAAGATAAAATTTTATCTTCTTTTTCTAATAATATATTTCTCTTTATAAGATTATCTGAGAGTTTCCTTATAGGTTCATCAAGATTAGCACTCAGTTTTTCATCCTGTTTTAATAAATTAGTATACATTATTTCTTCAGTTTTCATAATACTTTGATTCTTAAACAGATTAGAATAATGTTCTGTAATGATCACTTGCAAGAATGCAACATTCTCAGGATCTTTAAATCCCAGAAAATAAAGTAACAAGCATCTACTATTTGAATTGTATTGTGTTTTATTTCACTATTAAAAAGACAATAATCAGATCCAGTTCCTTTTAAGTTTTGAAAATTAGTATTAATTTTATAAATATTCTATAGAAATTTAAGGGTGTTGTTTTCTTTTATAATACTGAATTTCCAAATTTTTTTTGTTGTGTAAAAAAAAGTAGAATATCTAGGCAATAAAGAAATTCATTCATCTTTTTCATTGGTTTTATAATAGTAGTATCTAGCATATGATGAAATGATTGCATTAAACAAGACTGCTTGGAGTTGTTTGTATAAAGGCAAAACTTTAAGCTGATCAATTTTTCTAACAATGCATTCTTCTTTTAAATCTTTTATTAAGGTCCTTTTTTTTGACATTTGATTAATGCATTTTTCATACTATTTTTGCAATTTAGGATTTCGTTAAGAGTTCATTGTATTAGTAAGTTCACTGATATAAACTTGAAATTGTAATAGTATTTGAAAAAATTCTGTAGAATAATTTATAAAAATATAGTTTAAGATATATCAAAAATAGTGCATAAGATTCAATCTTTTATACTTTTTATCAACTTATTTCATTATTTAATTTTCAATAGTGCCAATTTATAGGTTCTTTATAGTATTTTAGTTCTGCTTAGCAAACTGTTTTATCAAAAAATTAGATTTGTTGTGTTGTAGATTAAGCTAAAACATTTCATTTTGCAAGTGTTTTGAACTTTGAGAGCAGTTTTACTAAAACAATTATGCTTTATAGTTAAATAGAAACATTTTATTACTGCACAATATTTTGTTTCTTGAAAAACAGTTTCTTTATAATAATATTCTTAGTATTATAAACAAATTAAAGCATTTTTTCATGAAATATATTAAGTGATTCAAACTTTGAAAAATAGAAGTTTGTTATATTATATATTATATAACTACAGTATATTAGCTAGAAAAATAATTAAGCTAAGCAATTTATTATTATTATTGAAAGATCATTATATATTGCATTTTTGAAAATGCACAAAAAAATAGAAATGTTATAAATGTATAATAAAAATATAAATAATTATTTCTATATTTTTAAAATTTTATTTTTATTTTTATAATATTTTTTTCTAAAAAATATAATCTAATTGTCACTTGAAGGATCCAAGCTCAACATGCTCAATCTTCATAATAGAGTAAAAAGATAAAGAAGTTGATGATGCATTCTAATTGGCTAATTATTGAGATTATTTTTTTACTGGCATGGGTAATTATATATTATATCTTTGACTTTAAGATTCTAATTTGAAAATTTCATTTTTGTATTAGAAGTTAAAACCTAATATAGTTAGTAACTTGAAATTTAAAATAAGGTAAAGGAAAGTTTTTGGTGTTCAAACACTTATTGGCTTTAGAAAATTATAAATACCACTTGATTTTTTATTATTCTTAGCAGCATCTTAGCTATAAGTAATAAAAATTTTGATCTATTATTAATATTATGAACATGCTGAGATATTTAACTATCAACTGAAGATGATTTAAAATCTGCTGTAATTAAAAATCTAGCAAGCAATGAGAATAAAATATGAGCTCTAGGAGCAATTAAATTATATATAAAACCAGAAATTCAAGTTAGTAAAAAGAATCTTGGATTTGGCTATTAAAACAGTGCAAGCTATATACTAAGCTTATACTTCCCAACTATGAAATTCTTCTTTATTTTGTTTAAAACATTACTAAGATTTCTTTTAATTATTAGAAAACATATCATTTCTGGAGATATTGTATATAAATTGAATATAATGACTTCTTAGATAATCATCAATAAATTCTTTTTTTTTTTTTTGCATATAACTTATGTATCTAATAGATTTTTATTTAAAAGTAACTACATCTTATTATAATCTTACTTATAATAATAGTTCTAACAGTGCTAATAGTATTGATAAGAATAATAATAATAATTACCATCATTACAATTATTATTTATTAAAAAAATTATAATGATGCCTAAGATTTTTTGTTTGAAACAATGTTAAATCAAATTTATTAAATCAATCTTATAAATAAAAAATATTTATAAAGTAAAAACCTTATATTCAAAATAAAAACTTAATAAGAATCTATTTAATTATAAGTTCATAATCATTAGTTCTAAGCTGAAATTTAAGTTGAAATTTTTTTATTTAATTATTAGTTCTTATTTTACTTATTTATTCTTATTTATTGCAATTTGTATCTAGTTTGTATTATAGATGCAGACTTATAACATCACCTAGTTACATTTTATATAAAAAATCAGTTTATAAAATAAACTGCAATTGAGCTATAACTAATAATATAAATAAGTCTGCATCTATAGTCTGTAGGTAACTGCTTTTTTAATTCAAAGTTATTACTAGAAAATTCAAAAATAGTATGATATTTTTGTAGAGTAGTTCTGCTAAGTTAAATCTTGCATATAGGCTGCACCTATACATGCTAGACAAATCTGAACAAATTCTAAACTCTAAAAAAATAAATAGCATTTATAAAAAATTGAATCAAAAAAATAATCTTTAAATTTTGCAGATATATTATACATGACTATAAGAATATATACTATTATTTAAATAAGAATTAGTAATAAAATTTTTCTAATATTAATTTGACCAGAGTTTGGGATTTGGGCACAGACAAACTCAAACTATAGTAGTTTGGGATTTGTTCAGCAAGTATAAGTACACTTGCTAATAGTTTTCAAGAAAATTTTTAAAAAAAGCAGTATGATGTTAATGTGCACATGTGAATGCTTTACTTTTTTGTTCAAAGTTATTACTAAGAAGTTCAAAGACAGTATGGCACTCTTGTAAAGTGCATCTACTAACATTTTTCAAGATTATTCTTGGCATATCTAAAAAAAATATATATAGTATTCTTGCAAAATGTATTTGGAAGCTTTTCTCTTTCTGATCTAAAGTTACTATCGAAAAGAACAGTATAATGTTTTTGCAAATGCATTTGCAAACATTTTTTCTCCTTCTGATTCAAAGTTATGATTGAAGAGGATTCAATTGTAAAATAGCTACAAATGTTTTTTCTTCTAATCAAGAAGTTAGTGAAGTGTTCTTACAATATGCCTCTGCAAATGCATTTTTATCTAATCTAAGATTATAATCAGAAGATTTCAAGTTAGCATATGTTCTTACAAATGCATTTGCTAGTAATTTCTCCTAATATAATAGTAAGAGTCAAGAAAGGTGGCTTGATGGTTTTTATATATAAATTAAAGAAAAAAAATAAAAAAAAGTTTTAGTATAATAAAAAATATAATGAAAGCAGTGTTCTTGCAAATAGTAGGCTATGTATCAATATATAATATTTGATATTTGATACAAACTCAAATCTGATTTAATAATAATTTGTTCTAGAATCCTATTAGAAAATTTATCACATTTGTGTAATCTCAGAAAAATATAAAGGCTTCTCAGAAGACTTTGATAATATATGAAGTGGAATTTTCTCAAATAAAACAAGTTTTGAAATTATTATTACTATAAATAGAAGTTCTTGTCTGCATGTCATGAAATTTTGGTAAAAATTTATTAAAGTATTAAAAAGTTTTGCTTGTAGTGAGTTTTTATTTTCTATATAAAAATCTGTGATATCATATAGATCATATGAAAAATAATCTATGTACACCCTATCCTTAAATATCTAAGAACATAGTTTTTAACTAACAGAAAACCAACACTAATATAAAAAGAAATAATAGTAAAAGTTAAAATCAATTTAAAAAAACTGCAGTTTGCTAATATAATAAAAAACAAGCAATTTATATTATTAACAATATTATTATTTTATATTTTATTTTATTACTTATACTTTTTATTTTTATCTTTTTTACAACTAAACTCTCTTAACTAAGTTTGTATACAACTGGTAAAACACAAAGCAAGTCTGGCATGAGAGGTTTTTAACTTTTTTTTATTCAATTCAAATATTTATATACTAATAGAACTTGCTCAAACCCAAGCTTTAGCACTAGTTACAATATTGTAATAAATTTTAAACTACTTTAATTTTAATTTATCATTCTTAAAAATACATCTACAACAACTACAAGATGCAGCACTTACCAAAATTTTAATTTTAACTTAACTCATTGTTTTTTCACTAATACAGATAAATATACAAACATGTCAACTAATAATAGTACTATATACTTTGGAATTACAAGCCTCATATAATTGTAATAATTGGCTACTTTCAAAAAAGTTTTTAACATATCTATAAACCAATTCTTTTAAATTATTTTAGAGTCTACTATTTTAAATAAAAACTAAACAATCATAATATTACAAGTATAAAACAATTTCTAAATACAATAAACACAGAACTTTTAACTTGAAATAACTTTTATTACAATATCAAAAAAAATTCCTCAAGGCCAATGCTTCTATTGGTTTTATTTAATGCAAGACCTAATAAATAGTTTTACAAACCTATCTTTAACTTTTTCAAAAGCAAATTCATATATTCTGACCAAATAGACATCTAGCAAGAAAGGTTAAATAATTACAAAAAATATAATCCTTAAAAAAATATACAACTTTTTTAAGAAAAACTTCAAAACTCAATACTACATTATACAATCTAATAATATGCTAATAGCATGTCAAGGATGCATACTAAAAAACAAAACTTATTTATCCAAATACTGTTATTTTAATACAACAAAATCAATTTATAACCTTTAAGTAAACTGTAAAAAAAAAATCTATAGTGACTTAATTAATTTTAAAAAGATACTAGCTCTAACTTTATCTACAACAACACAACTTTATAACTAAAAAACAATATATTCTAATTTAGTCAAACCACTTAGCATATTCAATAATCTTTTAATATTACTTTGGAATACCTTAACTAAAGCCAACTTTAATAAGAAAAATATAACAATTTATATAACAAATGTTTGACAAAATATAGAAAACAAATCTTTTTTTTTTTTTTTTATTAAGATGAGGTTTTGCCTTTATCTTTATTATAATTTGTATTAAGAATCCACAAGGGGTTTCTTTGACCAAAAGTCAAGTTTACAAATTGTTTACAAGAATGAGACTCAGACTATAGATATACTAAGACTACCTAGTT